ATATTAAAAATTCCAATCAAGGCTAACATTGGGAGGACTTTTGTTCTACAAACTTACAACAACATTATAAGTACGGTATACATGTACATCCGAAAGAATTGCTAGAGCAATACATGAATGAAAGCTAGGTACACCAACATTTTGCACAGCTCTTCAATAATTTGTATTCACTTTATCAACCTGTGCCATAATTGGCCCAACTATTGGCCACAAGATATTGATTTCGTTATAAATAGTGAATGTCTGAGACATTTTTGTTTTAGTGATTCTAACTACATGTGCAGTCAAACCTACCTATAGCGACCACCCAAGGGAAACACAAAAAGTGGCCTTTGTAGACAGGTTTCTTATTACATGATTCAATAAGAATCCATTTTCAAGGGAAACAACAAATGTGGCCTTTGTAGACAAGTGGTCTTTGTAGACAGGTGGTCACTAAAGCAGGTTTGACTGTATACCTTTTCTTTAACGGTAATACTTCCTCTAGTCATCTCCCCACTCTAACATCTTCCCTTTGATCTACACTGTACATGTTCAGTATATGAGGTCCTTCCTTTTCATTCCCATATATCCTGAAAACAGACTGGCATCAAATCCTCTCGATCTGGTGCCACATGCCTATGGAAACAAACTCCCTATATTTCTGAGAAAAAGTACCTGTCTGTTTCAAAAGAACATCTGAAACAAACCCCTTGTCCCTACAATTCTTAATTTGTCCTTAGACTATGGAACAGCGCATTGAATCCTCTGAAAAAAGCGCCCAATTTGATCAATATTGATTAATAGTTAAGATCATAAGATGAAATGCAAACTATAACAAGTAAACTTTTGGGTGGATTAAAAGTGCATGAAATGTTCCCATTATCAATATTTCCAAAATAATTGATCATATGAATTAAAATGAAAAATGGGAAAATATTCATCTTGAAATATAACTCTGCCAAAGTTTTCAAGTTTCATATTTGGCTTGTTCAATGATGCCACCCTAAACATGCACTCTTTAGAAGGTCAGGTACACTGTATGTGTACATTCCAGCATCAAACAGTCTCAGTTTTTTGCGGTTTCCAACTGAAATTATCGCTGTGAGCATAAATCCAATTTGGCTGTGGCTTTTGCATGACATCAAATATTCCTCTGTAAATTTAAGGAGCTCCTGTGTTTGTTAATCTCTTGACACACCTGTTGATAATACCCAGAAGAGGAGCTTACAGTACATGTATTGGTATATTGCACCAAAATGGAAAAAAAAAACGATTCAAGGGAAACTCTTTCAGTGCTGCGTTTTAAAGTCCTATGCAAGGGTCTACTTGTAAATTGGTTTTACTGATTCAAGATGAATGCATATTTAATTAAAACCACTTTTTAGGGCAAATTTTTTGGCACAGGAGCATTCCTAAAAACTGGGCAAATGAGTTGACAAACTCGATGAACTCCTCTTGAAAAGAATTGGTAATCATTTGTTAGTTTACAGTCCAAGCAGGCTTACATTTACAATTTCATCAGACTTCTCTTGATTACTGCTCAACTGATCTGCTTGTCTGTCACTGAGGTCATTCACCCTTTTTTGTGACCCCCCAAAAAGAGCAAATTTTGGTGTACATTTATCAAAAAAATGCAAAGTTTTGTGAGTCTTCAGCAGAACAACTGTCCTGGGAAATGTGCATTGTAACAAGTTCAGAAAGAACACAGTTTATGGAATGACTGGCAGTCTGAATTTAAGTTTTTCTATTGTACAACAAATTTAAAAACAAATTCTTTCAAAAACGTCCAACAAAACTGGACAGGCAAAATGTAATTCTCCCTGTCATATCCTATAAACTTACAAACCTATAAATGAAGACGAATTTATCTACAGATGTACCAATGATAAAAAAAAACTGAACATAGTAATAGATGTGCCAGGTGTGTGTAATGATAACAAATAATCCATGTCATTTCAACTTTTTAAAATCGAGAGATCCTACATGTATACACATTGGTTTAGGATAGAAATAAGGAAAGAAATTCATACATTTGCAGACCTTTATGGTCCATGTACGGTACTTCCTTGCTAAATGTATCCATGAATGAAACATGTTTGCCAATGACATCAGGACTCTACTTTAGACACTAAATATATATCCATCCTGTCACCAGATGCTAATCACCCTGTACTTAATTTAGGTGCGAAACAAGCTTGCGGAAAGAGCTGCTCAGCTACAAATCATGCTAATTTTATGAGGCATTGCCATGACGATCAACAGTATCAGCTATCAACATAAATCAAGTTATCATGAAACTGTTAAATAGCTCTTCAGCTGCACAACTACATATTTAATAGTTGCAAAATTACAAGTATATTAACCTGGTTATAAAAATCACTCAAGTTAGACAAGAAAAGATGTCTTAATAGGCAGGTGGTCTTTATGTACAGGGTCCTATGATGCTGTACGTACATGTACGTGTTTCAATGTAAATCCACTATTCAAGAAAGACAACAAAATGTGGTCTTTATAGACAGGTGGTCACCAAAGCAGGTTTGACTGTAACACACAAAACAAACTACATTGTACATGTGTAGCAAACTACATTGTTTCACTAATGGATCATGAATAAGATCCTTCAATCTTGTGTGTTTCTGATAAAGCAAAGATATATTATTGACACTCTTCAAAGAGACAAAAAACTTGGAAGCATAATATCTTAATACAATAATGCTTTCAAATTCTCATTCTTTAATTCATGAAATCAAGAAAATAAAATTGCTTCGCCTTCCTGATTTCTTATAAATATGGTCCATGTATGAGAAAATTATACCATCACTCATATCATTCAAGATAAAAATTAAAATTAAGACTTAAACTAAATGATCACTTATTACTGGTAGTGTGTTACGCAGAATATCATGTTTTCAGGGGTGGGATGGGCAGTGACCACTTACAAATACATGTAGTAGCTGATGTTAATATTATGTTTTCAGGTGGTATCATTTTCTGGTGTTCCCAAACAAGTCATTGAAGTTTTAGTTGAACCTTTGACATGTATGAATTATGAAAGCAAATAACTGTATGAAATGCAGTTAATTGTAACAGATAATTATTCATGAAACTAATCATATAATTATGCAAACATTGCATTCAGCAATCACTGACATGATCAATTGCCTAAATCTGGGGTCATGATTTTATTTGCGAAAATCTCAAAGAGAACTATAAGCGTAGAGACTTTCAGACTTGTACTGTACAATACATTTATGCCAAAAGCGATGTCCTCCAATATAATTAATTTGCCAATATGCAATACAATCAAGTGAGTCAACATTCAATTGAGTAAACATAACAAAATGTCAACTGGGATAACAACAGCTGTGGGATTACAAAGAATATTGTGATTGTGAAGATAGCAGACTTGACTGTCTGATATTGTTTGTTAAAGAGAATTTCTATAAAACAGATATTCCTTTGAATACTCTCCCTCAAAGAATTGTGTGTTATAGATCTACATAATTCTTGAATTCTGTCAATATTAAGAGAAGTCTTAAACTTAATTTTAAACTACCGGTGTGGACCAAGAGCTTAAGAGATTTGCATTTGTCCAAATAATAAATTCATCACAGGAAAACAAAATGAAATTTAATTAAGCCTAAAGAAAAATGTGTTTGATGAATTATCTTTTATCAAAATACAAAACGATCATTCATTTAAAAATCTCAAGTGATAAGTCTATCGCGAAGTACAGGTACAGGTACATGTTTATTTGAGCCTGAGGATTACCATACATGAAATAAAACTTATTGATAGCCATACCTGAATGTAAGCCTAGAATACCTTGAAAGTTCTTTATCTCTGCATTAATTATGCTCAGTTCTCAAAACTTTGAGAAGGAAGCTTCAATACCCGTTTCACTGTGGCACTAATGTGCATCATCTTCTTCTTCATTCATGTTTGAATACCAGCAGAGCTTTGTTATATTTGATCAATAAAAACACAAAAAGGTCTCCAATGTCCTATTTCTCTGCTACAGTGTACAAATCATGTTAATGCTACTTCCTGCAAGTCCATTGTGCTTCTAAAACTAGTAAAGCTGGTACTGTTTTGTAATTACAATAACTGTGCATTGCCATTGTAATTGCAGAAGCACTTCCCTTTACAATCAATAGTATTCAAACAGTACTCAACCGGGAGCAACTACATGTACATGTAAGTCTCATGCTCAGAGTGAGAGAAAACAGAGAATTAGAAAATTGATTTTTAAGATTCTGTAAGGCAATTTTTAATCTAAAATCAAAATATCAAGCCTCTTTCAGACATGACATGGTAGACTGCTTAGAATTAATTAAAGAAAATAACAGAACACAAAGAAAAAAAAACAGCAAAAAAAAAAAAAAGAAAAGTAATGTAGCATTACAGTGGCAGAGAGTTAAAATGCAAATAAATGGCAAGATGGAATATTTTTGGTGTAACAAAATCATATATTGCCTAGACTATGTGTGACCTGTGTGTTACAAGATTTAGAAATGGCAAGCACACTATAACCCTAATAATTCATTATTATTTGCCTTTGCTCTTCATTTAAAGATGAGGTTGAGTTCTGTTCATGCGATTGCATTGTGAAAGAAACAGCGTGGAACCGACCAGAAAAGGTTGATCATCTACATGTATATAAGAATTTGTGTGTATTGCAAGGTTCTGGAATCATCAAAATGATAAGAAATTTGGCCAAGTCTTGGTAAAGTTACAAACACTAGCACAGAAAGATGTATATGGGACTACACGAACACGTGACGTAAAAAGCTGCCCCCCCCCCCTCCGATTTTTACGATGTTACATGCATATTTAGAATATGAAGGCATTTGAAGAGCCATGCTTTTCAGGGAACATGTCTTAACTGATGTTCTTCCACACTTGCATAATAAGAATGAGTAATGCTCACAAATTATTTTTCACCTCTTCCCAGAACTCAACCTTCTCTTTAAGCATTTGAATGATTTGTGACTGGATTGGCCTCTATTTTTTCTTACCATTTCCATGTAGGCTAGGAGAGCAGGTCTGTTGTTTTCCCATTCCTGTGTGAGCTGACCAACTGGTGGGTATTTGCAGCAGGATAGCTCAACTGTGATCTCAAAACAGTTACTGTTCACATAGTTGAAATCTTGCATCCCACCTGTATTAGACCAATGAAAACAAGAGTGAATGATCAACAAAGGTAAATAAATAAATGGCACTACATGTAATCGCTTATTTCAAAACTGATAATGAAAAAGATACTCTATAAAGAAATTGCAATTAAATAGAGATCACATTCATTTACAAAATAATTCTTCAAAGTAAACAGAAATACATTATCAACTTTAGACTCAATCATTTATAATATTATAAAACAACAAACAATAAATCTGAAATTTACCGTACATGTACAACGTTGTCAACAGGTAGTCTGGGATATTCAGATTGTAACGTCATACATGTTTATTTGATTTTCATTCTGACAATTTATTGGAAGTCTTGATTTTCGTAATTTAAATAAGACATGGTTCAGGGAATGATTTGCAAAATGGTATAACATGAAGATGAATTTAGAGAGCAAGAAAAAAAGGGGCGGGGCATCTCACCTGGGACATCATACCACTGTGCTCCATTGGTAATGCCCCCAGCAAAACTCTCAGATGGGTAACCAGGACAACCAGGATTGGAATGCATCACCAGGTGATTGTTGGAATACACTCTAGCCAGCTTCTTAAAGAGTGCATCGTCAGGAGACTTGCTGTACCTCCCAATCTGGTGGGGATTATGATTCCGGGTGTCATCGAAGGGGTAACTTGCCACCAAGCTTCCCCCATGCAAGTTGGACGACAAGACAAAAGGGTTGCTCTCAATCCATTTCATCATCAGCATGGTCTCCTTCTCACGACCCTTCCATTTATCAGCCGGGCTGGTGTGGAACTGATCCGGAAAGTTACGATTCAGGTCAACTGCATGTGCATTCTCTCGTCCGTTAGTACCGCTGCATTCTCCTTCATGAGCCATGTGAAATCCATCAGGGTTCATGGTCGGCATGATGTAGATGTTCGTTTCATCCACAAGCCTTGTCACTCTCTCATCCGTTCCATAATTTAGGAGCAAGTACTCGATGAGATAGATGAGAATCTGCCGTCCAATGACCTCGTTTCCATGCATGTTTCCAACATATTTAAACATCGGCTCTTCATTTTCGACAACCCCGGGCTTGTCTGTTATTTGCATAACCCATAACTCTTTCCCTTGCACACTCTGTCCAATACTCGACAAGTTTGTAATCGAGGGATACTCATTAGAATACAGTCTCAGAAGGTGGGTCAAGTCGTCATATGAATGGTAGTACTTTGTGTCTATAGCGGCCGAACGTCGAGTTCGGGGGCCAACTCTAGCCGCTTCCTTCCCCCAAAGTTCTGCGATGCGATTCAGAGGATGCAGCGCAGAGAATGCTGAGCAGAAGGCCAAAGTTTGGAGCAGTAAGACAAGAAGAAAAACACACTGAATCAATTTAATATTACCCATTTTGGATCTAGTTGATATCAAATATGTCATCATGAGAAATTCATGTCAGTAGTAAACACAGTAATGTCTTAAAAGCAGAATTTCAATGGCATATGCACCCGTTTCCGCAAATATAGTGTTCACTCTAGAACGAGCCACGCAATTATAAACTTAGTCTTTCAAAAGGTCACTGTCATCAGTTAAGGTTACATTCATATAGAGCTAGTGGTGTATACTTAATCAAAAAAGTAGATTTCATGTATCTTCTTTGAGAAAATATATTTATTTTTAAAGTAATTGAGATTTTTCTTTTTAAGTTATCTACAATAAGTTACTAAATATATTTGAGAACGTACATCTTTTAAAAACTTCTCCTTTGGAGAGACTAAACCAGAAACATGTCACGTGAACAAACACAAGTGGATCTGGAAACTGCTATCGTCTTATTTCCCATCAAAATACCGGCCAAGATTTAGCATTATGACATCTGTTTTCTTGTATGTCCCCAATATCATTGGTATGTATATTATATTGTTTTGATGAGAAACTTTTCCTAGATGGACAATAAATTGATATGGGGAAAATATTGCATTACATATTCGTGGTCCACTCTTCTTTTCTGTCTCTGCTACTTTCGCAGGAGTGTTTTGCCATCGCCCCCATCGCCTTGCCAGCAGCTCAGGCGCAGACACTTATAAAAATGGGGGTCTGGCGATAGGTTCCTGCTGCATGCTGCATGCTGATCCTGAGTAGTAGTACCACTGACACTACTACAGTCGATGATGAAGAAATGTTGGTCATTTACCTTTCTTATTCGAGATTGTGCTCTCAAAGTCTTTCAAGAGCATTTTTTTAATATTTAAAAACAAATTTGGAAGCAAGATGTAGAACTTCTTAGTCCAAACAGTTTAGATCTACTCAACACTCAGATTCTTGGGTAGAAATTGCGGCGCTAGTGTAGTTCCGTATCCATTTTTTTTAGCAGTTTAATAATCCATTCTTAGGCTTAGCAAAGGAATTTTAGCCCAATTTTTTACTAATTTGAAGCATAATCATAAATCATAATTTGAATCATAATCATATAGGTCTAGAGGTCTAGGGCCTATTGCATTTTCCACCTGAATTTGGATCACATCCGATATCGGGAAACCTCCGTTTAAGGCGTAGATGTTGTCGCTCGGTACCGTCTCTACGCTATAGCTCTGCACCTCAAACTGAAGCTATTAGTCCAAAATTATGCACATTTCTCGCATGCACAATACCATAAACCATAGTTTGAGTTGCAAAGCTATAGCGTAGAGACGGTACTGAGCGACAACATCGACGCCTTAAATGGAGGTTTCCCGATGTCGGATGTGATCCAAATTCAGGTGGAAAATGTGATTAGATCTAGATCTAGGTCTAGATCTATGTCTAACAAGTTAGACGTAGACTGACTCTAGATCTATGAATTAAAATTAGTAAAAAATTGGGCTAAATTTGCTAAGAATGGATATGAAACTGCTAAAAATAATGGATACGGAACTACACTAGCGCCAAAATTGCAACCCATGGAATTTATTTGAAATGTATTCCCATCATCATGACAATATAAGAGGGAATATCATACTACAGGTATTGAGATAACAATATCAACATTTCATATAAATTGACATAGACTCTAATAACATCAAAAATATAAATAAAATATGAAAGTATAAACCATAGTACAGATGGAAAATGGTGGATCCATAAAAGCCAATAAGGTTTGACAATTGAATGCACCGGGTGCACAAGGAATAATTACATAGGCTGCTGGGAAAAAATGGGATTGCAGTTTGGTACCGCAGAATCGCAGATGTCGCTTAAAATAGATTTGCACTATAAAGAGAGAGAGAGAGAGAGATGTTTCTTGTGAAGTCTTTTGAATGAATTGTTAAATCAAACAGACTGTAAAAAAGCAGATAGGAAATTCCAAATTTTAAGACCAACATAACAGAGATAATTGTTTTACATATTGAAACAAAAGAAGCATTCCAATGATGGAATTTATCAGCTTTTCTTGGGAATGATGGAATCGAACAGTGTTAAAATGGTAATATTGATAAGTATGATCTCATGTACCTTCCTGAAACATTTTTGATATGGTATCTTTCTTGCAGGGTATGTACGTCTGGCCTTGGTGTTCAGTAGTTGTTTCTTCTACTCAACCAACGCTGTTGTCTTCATTAGTCTATTCCTCGCTCAGACTATACTCGATGGTGAGTAATCGGAGTAGACTTACCATGAAAATTAAATAATTTTCTGTAATTTCATTGTAATAACATACTTTAAGTGTAAAAGTAATGTAATTTATAAGTTTACTTTTGGGATATAGTGAGTATAGAATGACTTTTCTTTTTAAAAGAAAAAAAATTGTT